CTCTTGTGTTGGAATTCTGAACTCCAGGTCAATAGAGAATAAATGTCCAACCTTGAGGGTGCTGGGTGTGTGGCCATTTGTTAGAGCAGTGATAGCTGTGTTTCCTCAACTGCAAAGGAAACTTGATGTAAAGGGAAGACAATATCTCACAGAGGAAGCTCGGGCTTGCCACTCTGGATGGTTGGACAAGTCGTCATTACCCACTTGCAAAAGGCAAGACAATCATGATTTCAATTAAAGGTACGCATGCCGGAGATACAGGGAACACATACTTTATCACAAGACTCTGTGAAGTCAGTTGCCTTCCCTCAGAGTGGAGGGAAAGACACAGGTAACCCACAGCCAGTAGGAGCCTTCACACTGGGGTCACTGCAGCCAGGGAGTGCCGAGGGTCCCTGGAACTTGCCCTGAATCATTTCTTAGTCCTGTGTTGAATGGTGACACAGAGAGCACTGTCATCAGTGCTGATGGCCCTAGGCTGAAAGGAAGCACGGAAGGGCCAACTCAGGATGCAAGAGGTATTAGCAGGGACATCGGCAGTCCCAGCCATGCAATGAAACGTTACAGAGATAAATAATCAGGGCTTGCTGGTACTGAATAGTGAAATACTGAACTCCAAGAGGAACTTGTTCTCTAGTGTCAAGAGCAGGGAGCCTTTGCTGAAGCAGAGTTGATGGACAGAACTTCCAGCAGAGACAACATGATTGAGGCGATTCTGGGGAATGCAATGTACTTATTCCACAAATTATAGCTCAGTGGGCTATTGTCTTTGCAAACCTTTCACATAAATGGGAGGTTTGCAACAAAATACTGCTCATAGGACTAAATATTTGTAGCCACATATGTCCACACCCAAAACTCTTTTGAAAGGAAAACCCCTTGCTGTTGAGCTAGTCCTGGATCCTAGGTGTGCTTTATCTTCTTACTCCTGCTCTGAGCCTAAGAGATTAAAATAAACAAGGAATGAGGCAAAATTTGTGGCACATCAAGTCTCTTGGGATTTACTGGCCTGCAATCCTATTTCTGAGGACTGACTAGACTGAGTAGACTGACTTGGGATACTCCAAGGTAATCCCGGGATCCCCAGGACTCTGCCCCAAAGATGCTGGCATAGTGCCCTCCCCAACACATTCCAGCAGAATCAAAACAATCAACCAAGTACCTGTCGACCCTGACTATGTACCCCAAAAGAAAAATAGGTTTCTCGGTTGGAAATGAAGGTGAGCTGCATGCAAGGATAGCTCCCTGGAAACTGACTGCTGCGGGGAGGAGACCCTGAGGAAGGCTGATTGGAGACGCCTCCCCTGTGGCCTGGATGTGCCTGCTCTCCACCTTGGTGGGAACAACGGCCCACTGCTTCCTGCTTCTGTCCATCCAAAGCTGCAGCGTAAGCAACTTGCTCCCCTCCCTAAGCTGCCCTGACTACCCCACAGGTGCCCTAAGGTGAAGTGGCAGACTTTGGAAGGGGGCCTACCAGAATGAATCAGGCTGTCCCTTCATCTCAACGTCAGATGGAACCCAGCACCCATGCTCAATTCATACAAGTCATCCAGCACCCGGAGCAGTACCTGGTGCATCTGCCTAAACCAGCCTCACACAACGGGAATCTCCTCACATCCAATAAAGCTAGGCAGTTGACACCTTGACACCTGAAAATCCATTTGCCTTTCCCCTATTAAGAACTCGCGAATACAACGTGGGAAAAGCAGCTGAGTGTTTAAGTATTTGTGCAGTTAGAGTTGGTGAAGGATGGTGATATCAAAGATCTCAAACAAGATGATGCTTCCCAAAGTTAGAATCTGAGAGACACCTGAGGGGAGGAGGGGAAGGGGCTGGAGGTGGGATCCCTTCTCTGAGCTCAGCCCCACCAGCTCCTAGAGGATACAGGGACCCAGAAGGGAACTTTGGCCAGGGTAGAGAATAAGCCTTACAGATTAGTCCATCTACAGGAGTTGTGCCCAGAGGGGTCTTTCCGCCACGATTCTCAGGCCAGACCCTTGAGAATAGTCACTCAGACCTACTCCTGCTCTGGTCACTAGAATCACCCCTGAGCTGGGAAGACCTCAGGGATGGCAAGATCAAAGTCACGGACACACCCAGCTGGCCTGTCAAACCCCAGCTCCTTGTACCTCCCTCAACAACGCGCTCTGCCCAGCTGCTCTGGGTAACCACCTTGAAGAACCTGGCCCAGCTGGGCACCCCTGCCAACCACTCACTGCCCTTGACATCCAAGCTTCCTTGACATATGGAGATTGTACTGCCAGGCATTGGTTCTCTGGCCATGGTACCCTTGGCTGAGAAGAGCATGGAGTGTGACAGCAACAGCCACAAGCCAGAATCTGAGACCCGGCCCTGCAGTCAATCCTGCCATGGCCACACACAACTTCATCAGCACTTGCTCTTCTGCCTCCAGGCCCTGGACCCCCAGATCAAGACCTCTCCTCAACAACAACGCCCATCTGTGATGGTGACCTCCTTGCAGGCCAGGATTGGGAGCCCTTACGCCATGCTCAGTACAGCCTGTACCAGGAAGCAGCCCTGGAGCTGACAGAACCCTTTTGAACACCTGAGCCCAGCACAGCCTGCCCTGTCCAGTGCTGCCTCGAGCCCTTCAGCTTTGGCTTCCTTTCATGTACCCACCGCCCATGCTGGTTGTCACCTGCTATTGCCACCTCAACTGCAAAGCAGGCACTCTCCTCTGCCACCAAAGGCACCACACCAAGCCACCCACACCCAGCCTGCAGCTGCCATGCTCCTAGTGTTCTTGGGCCTTCAGGACATGGCTAAGAGGACAGAGTGCCAGTCCTGGCCAGCCTGACCAACTCTACTCCCCACATAAGTAGAGTGTCAGAGTATAAAACACCGGTCCTATGGAAACTCTCAGAATGTGAGGAAGTCATGCAATTGAGTGTGAAGGCCTTTTACTGAGTACACATAGACAGGGCATTTTCCATCACTCAAACACAAGTACTGATTCTGTTAGGTTCCTGAGTGTGGCTTCTCACCTTCCCTTGAAAATTGAAAACAAAATTATCTCATCCACTTTGTAATATTTCTCGACCTCCCCACTCTAATCAGTGGTCCACATGAACAAACATCCTTCTCAACTATTTAATAACATCAAAAATAAAAATCAAGGAAAAATGGGGGAAAATAGCTGAGTGTATTCAGCTGTTGAGCAGGTGGGAGTCAGTGAGGGGGTAGAGCTTTGGAGAAGTGCTCATAGACAATGATGATTTCCAAATTTAGAGTCTTATCGAGCAGTAGAAGGGGGCAGGGCTTAGGGGACTGGAGGTGGTAACCCTTCTCTGAGCTCCAGCCCCAAAAAGCTCCTGAAGGAAAATGGGCCCAGGAACCCTGACCAGGACAAAGACACAGCTCATGAACTCTTCCACCTGCAGGCACTTTGAAAAGGTGATTCCTCCAACACACTTCCCAGACAAGACCCCCAGCTCTCCTAAAGTAGGTTAGACGTCTTCCTGCCCCGATCACCAGAATCACCCTTCAACTGGGGGGGTGGGGACCATGTTGACCCAGTCAAGCCCCTCCTGACTCGGGAAGATCTCAGCAATGACAAGATCAAGCACCAGGACATGCCCAGCAGGCCTGTTGCTCCAATGCCGCTCAGTCCTCCATCACCAATGCCCTCCACCCAGCTGCCCTTGGTGAGCACCATGGGGAAATGGACACTACTTGAAACCACCTCCCACCACGGCTGTCGCTCACTGCCATCATCCCCCCAAGCTCCCTTGGAACATGGAGACTGTACTGCCAGGTCCCAGACCTTCTGCCTTGGCACCCTCAGTTGACGAGAGCATGGAGTGTGACGGAAGCAGTTCCAAGGCTCCCCCTGGCTGAGGCCATACACAATTTCATCAGCTCTTGATCTTCTGCCTCCCAGCCCCAGAACACCAGCACAGCTCATTCCCTGAACAACAAACCCCCAGCTGTGCAGATGAAATCCCCACAGGCCTGGCTGTGGGACCCTGGCACCATACCCAGCACAACCTGGTTCAGGCAGTCGCCCTGGAATGACAGAACCCTCGCTGCCATCTGCAGCTCCCCAGGATCCAAACGACAGGCTGCACTATCCTGGTTGCCACCTTGGCCCCTTCAGCCAAAAGTCCTATCCATGTGCCCACACCCATGCTAGCTGTTACACACCACTACAACCTCAACTGGGAGAAGAGCAGTCTCTTCTGCCACCGAGGGTACCAGGCCAAGCCATGCATATCCAACCTGCGGCTGCCAGAGACACGCTTCTAGCAGTAGGACCTCAGAGCCCTTAGGATTCCATCTTTGATTTCAGGACATGCCTGTGAGCACAGAGTGACAGCCCTGGCTGGGCTGACCAGTTCTTCTCCCTAAGTAGGAGACCTCAGAATGGCCTCAAGGGTCAGACCACTTGGCCAACACAACACCTGGGCTCACTTTCTCACAGGGCTAATCCAACCACACACTGCATTACAAACACACAACATTAACACTTCAAAATTCATTAAAACAATTCCATTCACATAATCTGGCTGGCTCCAGGCTGCCCTCATCCACTCAGCTCGTGGAACATACTTCCCACCCACACTCCATGCCACCAGGACAGCTTCTTGGCCAAGGTGTCCACAGTCCCTTCTAGAAGCGTCAGGTGTGGGTCAGGCCTCATCTGGCCACAGCCCACTGAGGAAATGCTAGGCACTGCAGGCCCTTGGTGAGAGGCAAGGGCTCCGCTGGAACCTGGCAGGAACACCTGCAAGAGTAAAGCAGCAGTGAGCTCCACACCTGGCTGTCATCAAGTCCCACCCAACCAAAACCAACCCCAGTTGCCTGGTCAGCCACATCACCAGATCCCTTCAATGCTCTGTCTTTACCTGCCCCAGCTCATGCCCAGCCAAGCCACATTCCCTCATCTGGAAGGAATTTTTCCTTCTGACTCCTGGCCCCTACCCTGTACCCCCTCTGTCCCAGACACACCACACCACAGCCTTGGTTTCTCTCTTACCTGAATTCTACAAAGTGCTAACCCATATCAGGAAACCTAAAAGACGTCATCTCGCAGATGCAGGGAAGAGCGGTACTGCACACCCCTGACTCCAGGTGCCAATATTGGTCATAATGGTATAACCTGGAGCACCTGGAGGTGGTGAAATCAAATCAAGACATTACTGAACATTCCCAGCTGATCCTCCCTTCAATACCCACTCCTGTAGGAAACCTGACCCATTCCTAACTCTCCAGATCTCTGGATGCCAATCAAAGATGCTGGAGGGATAGTTACCCAAGATCCACAGAAGAGAAACTCACCAATTACCAGGAACACAAGCAAGGTGCTACCTTGTCTCAGGACTCACCCTCTGCTTTAGTTCCTTGGCACTGCTCTAGCGCGCCCCCAGTGGCCATGATTGGTACAGCGCAGCCTCAGTGGATGGCAAGTTAGAATGCCCAGCTGTAAAACCCTGGCTGAACCTCAGAATGTGGATCCCAAACTAATAACTATTTCCTTATTTTAACTGTTTCAGGGGTTCTAGATACCAAGGAATAGAATAAAGACTAACCTCCACCCAAAAAATTCTTAAATGCAGGAAAACAAATGGAAAACAAATAAGCAATTGCCATACAAACTGATGAAAACCTTCTGGAAATTGCCTTGGTACGTCTTTATGAGGAGAAGACATAGAGCTGGAAATACTCAAACCTACAACTCACCTGTAGTTGTTTGAGTTGTGCCCAACCCAATATGCAGTATCCACAGATAACTGCGACAATAAGCTCCTCCAGGAAGAACTCTAAAGGGAGATTCAGAAAGCACAGGTGTGGTCAAAAACGTACAACACAGACCAAGGATGCCAACAGAGGGCCGAGCCTGCTTGTGGTCCCTCACCACCACGGGTGACCGGGCCCTGTGATACTCAAGGGCCAGAGCCCAGCCAACTAAGAGATCCTGCCAGTGCCAGCTGCTAGGAGGGGAGGGGTACACCCGCAGAGCTGTGCTGCGAGGGTGTAGAGGCTACTGGCCACTCTGTGTAAGGGTCAGGACCGCCCATGTCTGCCATGGCATGTGGGCCAACATGCACTGCCCATCCTGATCTGATGATGCATCACTATCAAGTGGCATCCCCTCTGGGCTTACTTACTTCTGAATAATACCTTGAAGGAGAGTCTGTGAATGTGGTGAGGTCAGAAGACAGAGATTTGCAATACTTCTGGCTTTCCTGCCAATTTCTCTTAGTGAGTGAGATGTGAAAACATCTTCTTTGAATCAGTATCCAGCCCACCATACAGCAGGTGCCTAGAAAGCAGGAAGAGAAAGAGACACCAGCACCTTCTGGCCTGAGAGCAATCTCCCTGTGGTGGACTGCAGGCACATGCCCCTGGGTCCGAGGCTGTCACTCTATGGGCTTCTGCTCCCAGACCTCTGCATTCCTCCTCAGCTCCACTCTGCCTCCTCCACCATACAAAATACCCTGACTATATATACTCAGTAAAAAGCCTTCTCTTCAATACCATGACTTACTCACACTCTGAGAGTTTCCATAGCACCCGTGTTTCTATACACCCCACACCTCCTCAGTTCTGAACACTTTGCAGGACACCCCTAATTTTGTCAAATCTCACCATGGCTTCACAACCACCCATCAGCCTCTCACCCATTCATTCTTCTCTTTTGCTCCCTACAGCAGTCACCACCACACATTAAAATCATTTCCACATGGATTTCTTCAACTCTGAGTAAGAAACTAGAATAAAAAGGTCTAGACTGGGATGGCATGAGCAGATTTTTGTTTCTGGAGGGCTTCCCTAAGTCCAATATGAAGATTGACTAGGGAACAAATTCAAGCATAGTGATGGGCCAAGTGTCAAATGATTCCACAGGCCTGGTATTGCATCATGCAAGCCTTGGAGCAATAGCTGAGGCCATTAGCTAAATGCAGGAGAAAGGCTGAGTGGGAGCTGCACTAAACACTGGCCAGGGCGCAGGCAGTGCATGACAATGCAGCCTCATGGCACCAGACAGAATGTTCCCCAGTGTGGCACACCTTGGTGCAGCACAAGATACAGTGGTCAAGCAGGTTCCTGCAGAGTTCAGATCTTGCCAGTCAAGCACAAGAAGCACGCTAGACAAAGGAATGAGCAGTTGAGTGATGGTTGGACCTCAGCATGGGCACAGAGAGAAGTGAAGACAGGAGGCAGCTGACAGGCAGAGCAAGGGGAGGCGCCAGTGAGTCACAGAGCTCTGTGAGGTGGCAGAGGTGTGGGGTGGAAGAAGCTGGCATCAGAACCCCAGCATTCACAGCCGTTGTCTCAATGGAGGAGCGCTCAGGGATGAGCTGGGAATGAGGGGCAGCCCTGGCATGGGAACCCACAGCATGCAACAGAAGAAGATTCAGGAAATGACAGTTGGAGGTGTTTGCACACACTCTTCCTGCCCTCTCAGACACACAGAGCCCAACCCTGATCACACTCCCAAGTCCTCCACACGCCAGTGCACACAGCCCTGGCACCTTGCCTAGGATCCCAGCCTGCCTCAGCCTGGCATTTCCCTTCCACATTTCCCTTCTCCCATTGCTCCTTTCAAAATAGACAGACCCATGTGGAGCAGGGTTCTGCCACACCCTAAGTCCCTGAACACTCCCACCCACCCACCTCCCTGCGAAGGCTACATGTGGACTTCAGACATCTTATCCCCTACTGGCCAGCAGCTGGGGCAGTCGGTGATTGTTCACCTTCAGGGGTTCTCCAAGGGAGCAAGCACTAAGTGAAGCTATGTCCTTTGAAACCAGGTGAACCAACTTTGTGAACAAGTGCAGGGGGGTCCAGAGCTGACCTGCCGCTGTCAGTGAGGTGAAACTGATCTGCACTGCAGGCTGCCACCCTAGGAGCTGAAGGGAGTACCCCTACATCCACCAGCTTCATCCTTATCCCGCCGTTGGCCAATGACCACATATCTAGTTGGCCACAGCTCTTTTCCCCTGCCCTTTTTTCCTCATCAGCACGCTACCTCCTGAGTGCTCTCTCACCCCTGCCCCTGGTGCCCCTTCACCTGACTCCCTCACGACCAGTCAGCTCCTCCAGCTTCCTCATGCCCAGAGCAGGTACCTTGTGAGGGACAGGTGAAGAAGGGCCTCAGTGTGCCATGCAGGTGGTTCAGCTTCTGCTGCATGGTCTGATTCAGTTCCACCTCTCTGTGCAAGTCCTCTTGCATCGTCTTCCTGTCTGCCTGGCAGACCTGCAGCTGCTTCAGCACAGCTTGGTGTGCCTTCTGCTCTTCCTGTAGTGCTGTCAGTCTCCTGGCCATTTCTTTCTTGGAGTCTTGCAGGTCCTTTTCCATCTGCCCCAGCTGAACAGTTCTAAGGTGGAGCTGCTCCTGAAGGCTGCTGTTGGGGGCTTTCAGCATCCTGTTCAGCTGTCCAAAAAGCTGAAACAACTGCAGATCTGGGAGGGGGCAGGGTAGGGAGGTTTACAGGGAGGAATTTGGAAAGGGTATGAGAATACCTGCTGCAGCTGTGCCCTGTGCCCCACACTCTGAGGTCAGACCCCTATTCTGTGTCTTGCAATATTGCCCATCACAAGGCTGAAGCATAACATATGAAACCCCTGAAGCTTGTTATTTAGGGAAGACAAGGTGCTTGTGAGCAGATGGGGCTATAAACCAGCCCCAGTGCTGAGGGTGTGAGGGATTTGGCTGTGGGGTGCACTGACCATGGGCAGCTGAGGGTGGGGATTCTCAAGACGAGGTGGCTTGGGGAATCAGGGTCAGCCATACTCACATTGCATGCCCAAGCAGATTGCAGCCACTCTCACCAGAAGGCATGTCAGGAGCAAGCCCAGCAGGAAGCACTTTAAACAGCCAGAGTGGCCATGACCTTCACAGAGGGAGGGAGAACACTGAGAGTCTAGAGCCAGAGTGGGAGAACTCTGTGGTCAACATCCCGAGGAGCCACTGCAGAGGGGAGGAGGTGGGCAATGGCAAACCCGCCTGTGTGCTGAGGCAATTTGGAGGTGAATAAGGAGAATGTTCCAGAATAAGGGCTGGGGGTTGTTCCTGGTAAGGCAGATGGAGGGTCATTACCTGGTATCAAGGGGAACTAACACTCAGAGGAGAGAGGAAATGGGTGGGAAGGGACGGGTGTGATGACATCCCACGGGTGGGTGTGCCTCTGGAACCACAGCCAGAAGGCTCGTTTCCTGGCAAGGCACAGTGTGGAGCACATGGGCTGGTCCTGCACACCACCCCTTCTCTCCCTCCCTCCCAGTCTTTTCCGTTGCTGGTAAGGCTGGCAAGGGGAAAGAACTCATAGGGGAATATCTACCCAGCAGCTGAGGACAGAGCACAACTCCAGATGAAGCTGGCTGCCCCACCTGATCCTTGGGGACAGAGTGATGGTGATGGTAGCCGCAATGGAAGACCATGCCCCATAGACTCCTACCAACTAAAAACCCAACCCTGTGGACTCCCTGCTGCTGCCCTCCACCTGCAACTGCTCTAGGATGTCCTGGCCACCCACAGGATTCCTGGTCATCTCAAGATTCCTGCCCATGTCTCTCCCACAATTTCCCATGAGACACACCATTATGGCTCTCATGGGTTTCCCTTTCTGGTTTCCTCAGAGTAGGCAGGGGTTGATCCCCACCACTCCTCCCAATTGATCCTTACGCAGTATTTACCTTCCCCTTTTCCAGAATAACCCCTCTATCCTCTTCTGAGCTCAGCTCCCCATGGCTGCCCCAGGCCCCACCATGACCCCACCTGGCTTTGGGATGCTGCAAACACCTGACTCCAACTCTTGCTCCTCTCAGTAGCATCCTCTGGGGCCCACTGTGAACTCACCCACTCCACATGCAGCCCCTTTCCACCACAACACATACAAGTCCTCTGGGCTTGCCATACCTGCTTGGACTTCTGGTATGGGGGACTGCACCAGGCCTGAGGGAGCCTCTGGGGATGAGTGCACCTGCATGTCGTTGTAGCTGAGCTCCCCATTTTCATCAGTATCTGGGAGTTGAGAGGAAGAGGAGAGGAGAGGAGAGGAGAGGAGAGGAGAGGAGAGGAGAGGAGAGGGGAGGGGAGGGGAGGGGAGGGGAGGGGAGGGGAGGGGAGGGGAGGGGAGGGGAGGGGAGGGGAGGGGGAGGGGAGGGGAGGGGACAGAGGGGAGGGGAGGGGAGGGGAGGGGAGGGGAGGGGAGGACACATGGCAGTCAAAATGGGGCCTGGGGTTTTGGCCTTAAGGGATGAAGGGGCTGCTGCATCCTTACCCTGCCCCAAGTCGGAGACATTCTTCCTCAGACGAGCCTTCACAAACCGCAGATCTGCATGCCTGTTGGCCTCCGCCATGTTCCCACACAGCACCCTGCCCCAGCCCTGCCTGCTCACCTAAGACCCTCTCCTCTCCCACCCTGCTCACTCCAGAGCTCCAAGGTCCCTCTGTGGCCACACTGCTCTGCAGTTGAACCTGCAACTTGCCTTCACAAATGAGGAAGCTGGAAGTGTGTCCCTGATAGATGGGCTCTGTAAAGCAGAAGCATCATTGGGCACCAACCACAGGGACAGGGAGACACTGGGGCCAAAGCCTACGGCAGGGGAACTGGCTCATTAGATTGCTTTGACTGCTGCTGTGACAGTACTGGGCTCCAGGCCTCCTTCACTGCTGACCAGTCCTACTCCCTATGGGGGGTGTGTGTGTGTACATGAGTAGTTGCTGCTCTCTGGAATTTCAGGCAGAGGTGAGTTTCCTAAAAGGGATCCTGATTCACTAACATGTTAACCTGCCCCCACCTATTGGGAATTTGAGAACTAACAAGTAAGGCTGCCAAACACAGGCACCTCCTCCGAGGCCCTTCCAGGAGATTAAATGGCTTCGGCAGGAGGCACATGGACCCACACCGTTGGGTCAGCTTGCCCTCCCTCCACCCTCCTCACAGCTTCACACTAGCCCCTAGTCTAAGTGACTGATCAGGCCGGTGGCCCTCAGCCCTTCTTCCATCCCATCTTTGCACAGCTCTGGCAATACCTGGGCACATCACCCTGAGCAGATGGTGCAGAGAATAGGTGCCCAGGGATTACCAAGGACCACAGCCTCCTTGTTCACTGAGGCCGAGAACTCAGGAAGATCCAGATGTTGAGCGTGAGAATCCAAAGCCATTAAGATTTTCATATTGCCTTAGTCTCACTTCCCTAGAAACATTCTTCCTCTAAAAACCCCCATCACATCCTGCTCTGTACTTTCTCAACCCTGAGAGGAAACTAGCCTTTGTGGGGATGGAGGGCGTGACAAGACCTGACAGGCCCTTGTCAGTGTTGAGGGCCTGACCCAGTGGAGGAGAAGAGAGCAGGAAAGAGATGAGGAAGGCAGTGACCCAAAGTGTTTCCAGAACTTTTGGTTTCCAAGACACCACCCCTTACAGAGGAACTCCCCGAGGACTAATATCCAGTGACCACACCGGGAACCGACCCCAAAACGGAGGAAGGAAAAACCAACAGCCTTGCAGGTGACACCTGCCCATCCCCGCACAAAATGCTGAGCTCTGAAGCAAAACGTCCACACCACAGGCTAACAGCGCCAGTGTATGAGACCCAGTAACCATGTGGGAGAGATTAGAAGAATCCTCTGGGTTCAGCCTGCCCTAACCCTTGCTGTTGTGGACAATTTGGAGAGTTAACCAATGGACAGATCTCTCTCTCTAATTTTTCTCTCTCTCTTTCTATTCATCCATCTCTCTCTCCCTCTTTTTCTGCAACATTGCCTTTCAAGTAAATAAATAAATAAATATTTTTAAATTTGTATTTTCTATAATGGCCCTAACACAGAGAGCTTACTCCTTTTTTTAAAACCAACATTGTTGTCAGGTTTTTATTTTTTCACTTCTTTATGTGAAAAGCACAGTTGCACCCAGAGAAGAAATAAGGAGATAGAGAATATTCTATCTGCTACTTCAATCCACAAACCTTTGCAATGGATGGGACTAGGCCAGTCTGAAGCCAAGAATTGGGAGCATCTTTGAGGTCACCACATGGATACAAGACCTTGAACCGTCTTCTACTGCTTTCCCAGGCACATTAGCAGGGGGCTAGATAACACAGAAAGCAGCTGAGACACATCCCAGCACCCATATAGGGTGCCAGCAGTGCAGGCAGAGGCTTAGTCTGAAATGCCATGCCACCGGCACCCCAGAAACACTTTTAGGCCTCAGAAGCACATCTTATACATTCCAGCATATTCGGGACTATGGCATCCTTACTGGGATTTTAAGGACAAACACCCAAGCCTGCTTCCTGCCATCACCAGTGCTTACCTCTGGAATGGGCTGGTGAGTTACACAGGAGAAAGGGCTTGAATGAGGGGACCTCTGGGAAGAGCCCCCAGCGTGGGATGGAAGGGGCTCATCCACAGTAGCCTGGGGAAAAGCCAGCCAGCATCCGGAAGCCTGAGCAGTCTCAGGGACTCTGAAAGTCAGGCTGTGTCTGTCCTCAGGGCTGGTCCAACTGGCTGTTCCAAACATTCCATGTTAGTCTCTCTGTGCCTTTTTCTGAACTAATTTTGGGGCTGCTGAGAGATCCTCATGGTCACTGTAAGATAGGAAAGGAGCCAAAGCTAAAACTAAGGATGAGACAAAGCCACTCTCCTGTGTCCAGAAGGAAATTACACTTCACTTCACAATTTCCTGCCTCAAGTTCCAGGCAATGATAGGTGAGCATCACAGGTGGGCAGGAGGAAACACCTACGTGGTGGGGGGAGTGGCCTAGACCATGAACTAGCTTTGTACTCTACCACAGAACCACAAAACAACCATGCTACTCCACATGGTATTTGAAACAGACCCAAAGAGTCTTTTACTTTTGCCCAATCTAAACTTGTTAATTGTACCAAGTTGACTTATGGATCATATAAACAAGCACATTTACAGAAAACTCTAAAAGCTAGTTCACACTAAGTAAAAGGTATAGCATTTCCTGACCAGCAAACACAGTGATGCATGGGAACAATTTTGAGATTTTCCTAAAGTAACTCTAGCTGGAAGAGTGGCATAAAGCTAAAATGTACGGTGACATCATTCCTTGTTCATTCTCAAGGGGCACTGAAGCCAAGCAGTGTTACTAGAAAAGAGAACCTTTACTTTTGCAAATTACATAAACACCCCAGGCAACTATTAATATAGAATTCTGATTAGCAGTTGCTATCTGGGCACCACACAGGAGGAATCCATTTCAACAAAAAAACAAGCATCAAGACAAATAATAGGCAGCTACACACAATCCAGGCAAGTACCCACTACACACAATCCAGGAACCTGCCCTGAGGGGCCATAATGATGCCTTGTATGGACCCAGACTTCTTGAGTCTCAAATTAATACTCAGAACAGAAACAGATTAGATGGCACCTTATGAGTAAAGGCCAGTGCAAATCCTGTGAGCCGGGCTTCCTGCCTCAATTCCTGGAGCTGTAATAACCATCACAGTGGCCTCCCCAGACTGCCAAGCCAGGTTCTGAAGCTCAGCATGGCCACTGCTCTCTGACCGGGGCCTCCAAAATGTTGCAGGGTGCAAGTGAGATCATGCCAGACAAATCTAGGATTTCTTAAAGGAGTCTTTAATAACCAAATTTGGTGATGGCATTGTCTACAAGAAGTTAACAAGTGAAAAGTCACCATGATAATCTGCCAAGGTCCGTGCAGTGGGTGTGGATGACATGAATGCGTGAAGAGTATTATTCCATTGCAGGCAAGGCCACAAGGAATTTCCTGCTGCATGGCAGGGCCTGGTGGATGTCTCTGCAACCACCTGACTGCAGCTCCACCTCCCTTTGCGTGGACACTGGACAATTCCACTGAGATTTCTGTAATCTATGTTGCCATTGTCTGTCACTCTGGAGTTGGTCTTTACTATCAATGTGAGCTTGGAAGTTGATGTTGCTGATAATGCCTTGGCAAAAGGGCCTTTTACAATTCATGCTGTCCATGTCTCTGTCTCTGCTGCCCCCATTGACCATCCTCGATCTTTAGCTCCCGGCTTCTGTGATGCATTCAAGATTAAGTTGTAGAATGAGGATTATAGTAGGAATGTGTTACTGATTGACAATGCACTGTCTGTTGAGAACTTCTATTAAGAGCTTTAAGGTGAAAAAAATGGCAGAATTATCCTTGGAAACACCCACCTGACCATGACATGAAGCCTGTGCCAGAGTTTGCGACTGCTTCTGTATCAATGAAGAGGACAGCTTTCTCGTATTGTCCATTATGATCCTGAAATTGTAGTGGTCTGTTTCTTTCCTCTTTATGCCTAATCCATGCACCCTTCGCGAGTCCCAAACTCAGCTGGAGCTGGACTCTGACAATAATCCAGTCTGAATCAAAGCCTTGAAAGGAAAAAATTGGTCATTACCCTGAAACCTATCTGTTAAACTGAACACCTGTATTCCACTGTCCACAGCAATATAAATTATTCCTAAGAGACATCCAGTGAACAAACTGGACACATTAACAAAACCACAAACACTCACCTTTTACTGCTTCTTTGTCCACTTTCCATTACTGGTAGGCCTCACTTTGCTATAGAACTCTTGAAAGTACAAAAATTTAGATTTCTGTAATTTTTTTGAACATCCATAGCAGTAGCATTTTAAAATAGCAAAATTCTGTATCACTTGGCATTGATAGTGTTTTACAACATAATAAAAATAGGGCGTGACACAGTAGTCTAGCAGTTGAAGTCCTCACCTTGCATGCGCTGGGATCCCATATGGGTGCCAGTTCTAATCCCAGTGGCCCCACTTCCCATCCAGTCTCCTGCTTGTGGCCTAGGAAAGCAGTCAAGGATGGCCCAAAAAAAGAAAGCCTTGGGACCCTGCACTTGTGTAAGAGACCTGGAAGAGGCTCCTGGCAAGGATTCCCAATGTCCTCCTCCAGTTCCCCAAGCTCCCTCGGCACATGGAAACTGCACTGCTAAGTCAGGCCCATCTTTGCATGTGGGAATATCTGCCCCCTGAACCAGACCAGATACCCAAGGAACCCGAGTCTCTCAGTAGACCAAGAATCCTGCAGCAAGCAGACTTCCTGCTGGAATTTCAGGCGGTCTTGCTGGCAAAGTGTGAGCGGGTGTGTGTATGGCAGGCATTCACTATCTTTCCCTCTTCTTTTAGTGCTTGTGGCCTAAAATTATCTGAGTACAAAGTTTTGTTTTGTTCCTTTTCTTGTTAAATCTGTTTGTTTACTGGTATTGGTTCCTGTAATTCATGTTTGCTATATTGTTGACTGAAGCCTGATGATGGTTTCCCAAATTCCTTTTACTCAATTCTTCAGAGTGGCTTGTGTGCTACTGTTTAGTTAACAAGTAACTTTTACCTGCCTGCTTGCCCTGAAAAAAATCTTAGGATAAAGATGCCCAGTAAAACTCAATAAAGTGTTCTGATTCTGCTCAGCA